ACACAAGCAATATAAAGTGTGCTCACCATTAACTATGATTCTGAGATGGAGAAAATGTGTTCCATCAAGCTTTGAACACTGACAGGAGTAGTTCCCACTATCAGCTGCTGTTAAACTGGTCAGGTGCAGAAACACAGTTTGATTCCTGGTTTTCAGTGAGAACCTGGAGTCACACTCATGAACAAAGTCACCTCCATCCCTATACAGCAGACTGCACTGCTCTCCATTTTTCCTCTCCGTTCTGATCTTACACACAATCATCATGATGATATTTGATGTTTCATTGGTGCAGATTGGAGTGAAATCAGATTCTTTTCCGATTGTTTTAACAAGAGTCACTGCAAACAGGTAAAAACAATGAATGAGAGATAGTCTGATTGCTGTAAGAATGGAATCTTTTAAAAATTAAAACAGATGTAATACATTTCAAAGAATGTTCAATGTCAACGTTACCTTCAGAGTCCAGACAACACGTAAAACACAGCAGAAGCAGTAAAAGGCTTAATCTCACTGCATCCATCTCACCTGCTTATCGATGCAACATCTGCTGCTGCACTGAACAGAGGCCGTCTCAACTGTCCTCTGAACGTTTATTGGGCGACTCAAACCACAAATTGTCATCTCTCAAAGTGGTTCAAGAGGATGTGAGACTTTTTCTGAAAGGGAAACGCGTCTACATGACGACTTCACTGTGAAACAACAGAACACAAACCTGAATTATCTTTGCCCATCGCATCGTTACAGTTTGAACGTCATAAAGGGTCAAAAGTTCACTTAAAATTCAAATTATTACTTATATTAAAAATTAAAGAAATTTATTTTAATGTATCATCACCTCTTAGATCACAACAGAGCCGGTGGCATAACGGCATGTTGTCATGGCTGATGGGACTTCCTGCCTTGTTTTCTGCAAAATAGGTGGTTAGCAAAACTGAAGACCTAAATGTCATGTTTGCTTTGTGGTCTTCACATATTTATAATCTTGAATGTGAGCCGTAAAGAGAAAAAGTTCCGAGTCCTGTAGAGTAAAATAAACTCGCAGTACAATAGAAGTATTTTTATTTTCCATCTACATACAATAACATCTAAATAAGTGTTATTTTTCTTCATAGAATTATTAAATTATACTATAATAAAAGTATCCAGGAGGAAATATGAGCAAGATGATTACATTAGGACACATGAAGGTGAGACAGAAACAAACCACCAGTTCAGGAAGTATGATGGGAAGAGGACAGATTTTTTGAAATTTGATTTACTTAGTGTTCCAACATTAAGTGTTTTGTTTTTTAAGAAAAAAACTTAAAAGACGTTTATAATGCGGAGGTTTTGTCAAGTAGCTATAAGAGTTATGTAACAAACTTGCAAAATTTTGCAAACCCTTTTTGAAATGGCAGAGAACAGACACCATGCTCCAGTTGTTGTGTCTAAACAATGTGGTTAAAAAGTGAAAGATGAAAACATGTCCCATCAAGTCATCAACTGATGTCTAAATGTGGCTTAAAGGTGGTTAAGGCTGATCATGGTCTAACCAAGACTGACTCTTAATGATTTTTTCTAAATTCATGTGGCATTGAACAGTTCAAAAAAGTTTTCAATGTGTTTTTATACACTAAATAAAAACAAGCAACGTTAAATGTTTACCCCAAGCTATTTTTACACAATATAAATATTAACGAAGAGGAATAAATACAATGAAAACGCTGTTAAAATTGTGTTGAGCGTTATGGAGATTTATTTTTTTTTTCCAAATTACCAAAACTGACAACTTTCCTTTGTGTTTGCTTATTTGTTTTTGGACGTTTATGCAAAAATGACGTGCTGCCGAGGTTTCTGGAAACATGTTAAAGGATGTACATACATATACATATGTTATATGAACACATGAACATGTCTTTACAAAGAGGTAGGGGTGGAAAATGACAACTGAGGCAGAGAGAAGGCAGATGAACAGAGGGAGAGTCCAGGAAGATAAACTAAAACTCAGAGAAACGACAAGCTAAGTGAAAATGATCAACAGTGATCTCAGAGAACTAAACCCAAATTCACAAAAAACTAATACAAGAAACTAAAAACAAAATAACTTATATGACAACATTAATGAACACGAGAAATAAACCGAATACGGCAAGACCCATCGAACATAAATAAATCAGAAGGAAATTATCTGAAATACGAAAGAAAAAAAAAAGTCCAAATACCCAAGAATTGTGATGGTAAATTTGTTCATTCAGGAGATAATCAGGAGACAATATTTGTAGAGTCAGAATTAATTTGACAGCTGTGCAATATGCCTGTTGAATAAAGTGAATTTTCCTTCTGAGTGTAGGAGCTGTACGGCTCGATTTCAGTCACGTCCTGGAGAACAAATCGTGGAAGAATAAGCTTAAAAATGTGCATGTGTAAATAAAATAAAATGCATCAATTTTTAAAATATAAATTACCTCCTCTACATGATGAATG